TTGGGGAAACCTGCAGTCAGCTGAGACTGAAGAAGTCACTTGGATGAGTGACGAAACATTTCTCCCACTGAAAACTCTACGTCCAGATGAACAGAATCAACTTTTGGACACAGCCAATAAACTAATATTATGCTGACCTTGTAATTTCAGTAGTTTCACTTTCATATACTTTTTACAAATATATGGAAAAAATGGAGGACATTAAGTATAAGCACACAAACTCACCAAAATAAAAAATCTTTTTAAGTATAAAAGCAAACTGTGGCCTCAAAAGTGCACTTTAAAATATGTAAGGCTCCTACTGAAAACAAGCACCGTGGATATTTAATGACTGCATTAACACCAAAGTTCCTGAAACTATATTATTTTATTCTGATTCGGTGTTAGTTTACATACTTGGCTCATGTCGTCAGGTCTGTCAACCTCCATGGGCTCTGCACTGGCCATGTTTCCGATTTTGATCGTCTTCCTTCAAAACACATCAAACACAGACGACATGACACAGTGTGTTGCACTCAGACAACCAACAATTCTGTATTTGGTGATTTTATATAAAACTATAACCATAAATTAGCTAACGTCGTTCTCCACCTAACCTGCAGAGCTACACTCTTGGTTGCACTTAACTGTCCAGTTTTCTAATGTCTTACATTTTAACCAAACCTGTAACAACCACAACGTTATATCAAACGTTTTATGTATCATCTAAACAGAAATGTATCTTGAAAATATGACTTTACTGCATATTAGACTTACCCCTGCCTCGCTACTTTAAACAGTTTTTTCCTTATAAACGAAAGTGAAAGCTTGCAGCGCCACAGTCACGCTCCAATACGCAAGTTCGCCTCTGTCATTTATTTGGGACAGAGTGTCCTCTGTTGTTGACTAAAGATCCGTTTGCTCAGTTAAGATGACTGTGGATACTAAACCTCCCTTCATTTCCAGAAAAAGGGCATTAGATGTCTTTTATAGGACACGTTTTTTCTGGCTTGATATCTCATGGTTTGCAGTTTGTGTAAGCTCACTTGTGATAACTGACTTGTTTCATTTAGTTGATATAGGATATACCAGCTATACAGGATGATGCTGTAAATAAAATAATTTACTGCAGGCTATAACTCATGCAAAAGGTAAAATGTATAATTTACAATCCACGGAAATTTTCTTTTTGACATTTTCTTTAGTGTAAATCAAAAACATTTTCTGATAATATGTTTCCAATTCTACTCATGTTTCACTTGCTATAGAGATCTTCTGGTGTTGTGTTTGTACTTTTATAAAAAAAAAGCATTTCTGCCACCACTTAAAAAAGTGATGTATATTGTGGTCCCGTCCTAAAAATGCTCCTCCATTCTTTGCAGTTACAAATAAATGAAATCTTTTCATGTAGATTCAACATGCAGTGGGAAAGATCCTTTAATATACAGTATTTCACATTTGCATTACAGTAATCCTAAATCGAATATTTATGCAGTATGAATAGCTGTGTTACAAAGTAGGAAGAGACACAAAATAAAAGTAAAGCCATTTCACACAAACACCAACATGCAAAGGTTGTTTACTTTTTGTTTAAGGAAAAATTGTTTCGCTGATCTCCAACTTTTTATAAGGCTTCACAAGGCATGATACAAAGATACATAGAAACATTGTGAAATATAACAACCCCATTGTAAGCATGCAAATAACACAAAATATTAGCACTAAACTGAGATTACTGTCATGTCCATGACAAATTCATTTCAGTAGCAGTATCGAACTGTTCATGGGAGATGTGGCAGTTTTCTGATATAAATAAAGAAGCTCTCTGACAGCGTGGCTCTCCATGGAGGCATTTCCTTCACCTTTTTTGTAGAAAGCTTTGACATTGACTTTGCCTTGATCAATGTCTGATTTTTTAAATTCCACATTAAACTTAGCTTTCATCTTTTCTATTTCTTTGTTATAAGAGGTAGTCATCAACTTCCAGAAGCTCTTCTCCATGATCAATCCTTATTTTGGGAGATGGTCTTTGGTGGTCATGTCAATCTTCAGTGATGTGTCTTGAGACTCTCTTTCATTCTCTTCATGAGAAGCATCTGTGTTTCTTTTCTGCTCTGTATCTGCATTTAAGAACTTTTTGATGGCCTCTTGACTTTGTGTTGGTCCACGTACAGTCATCATTTCAGAGGTCAGAGTAACCATAAGCTTGTTTTCTTTTTCCTGGATGATTTTCAGTGCGTTGCCCCACTGATTTGAATCTATGAACTTGAGAGGAATAACTGAGCCACAGGATTCAACTAAGCTTTTTTGGACAAGGTTTGCAAACTCATCGAGAGCATTGTCTGGGCTCCCATGTTTTCGGTCTACTTCAAATGTCACCTTCACATCTGCCATGATATTAACTCCATTCTTTTTCTCTATAAGTTTCATTTCCTCTTTGTACATGTGGTTCACATACCAGAAATGACCCATTGGGACGGAACAAGTGTACATTTCTTCACCTGCAGAAACTGTGCTACTCTGTTTCCCCACCTGAACTTGGTCAAAAAGCTGAGCAAGAGAACCATGTGTGTTTGTTGTCTGTATTGCATCTGCATATAAGCACTTACTGATAACATCTTGACTTTGTCCTGGCCCACGCACAGTCATTACATCAGAAGTCAGAGTAACCAAAAGCTTACTTTCCTTTTTCTGGATGGTTTTCAGTACTTTGCTCCAGTGATCTGACTCTATGAACTTGAGAGGAATAACCGAGCCACTGGATTCAACTAAGCTTTTCTGGACAAGGTTTACAAACTCATCGAGAGCATTGCCTGGTCTCCCATGTTTTTGGTCTTCTTCAAATCTCACCTTCACATCTGCCATGATTTTAACTCCATTCTTTTTCTCTATACATTTCATTTCCTCTTCGTACATGTGGTTCACATACCAGAAAAGACCCACTGGGACGGAACAAGAGTGCACCTCTTCTCTAGGGGAATTACTTTGTTCACTTTTTTGAACCTGTTCCTGTTAAAAATACAGTACATCACAATACAGTACATTACATTTAATGGAATGGCATATAACATTTCTATTCCATTTGTTGATGCTTTATCACATCGTACATACCGTTTGTAACTCTTGCAGAGATGCAGAAGGGTTCAATGAAGCATCCTCTGGTACTTGTGTATCGAGCTCTGGAGATGACAGTGTGAGACTGATGGATGTTATGGTGACTGATTGTCCATCCCTCCCAGTTAGTGTTTGGTTATTCAGTTTCTGAAGATCAGCCAGGGCTTAAAAGACAAAAAATGAACTCTTTTCTAAAACCAATATAATATACTGAATTAAGTCAAAATATACTTTTACTGAATAAGCTATAATTCAGTAATTGTTTATTGAATAAGTTAAGAAAGATATTAAAGTTATTCAAGACTATACTGCACCTGGAGCTGGTTTAGCCTTTACCACAACACGGCCATCTTTTAAGGTCCTTTCCACTGCACAGTCCACCTTATGTTTACATTTGTTGAACCAAGTGTGAAGCATTTTCTCTAGACGAGTCTCAAGCCTCTTCACTTTTTGTGGTTCTTTTGGATTTATCCACTTCAATGAGAGAACAAATAGAACTTCTTCATCATCCTGTGATAGAAACATAA